AATTAACAGTGAATTAACAAAGAAAGATGGGGTCATCATTTAGCCATCTTCTGTTAAGTATCTCTTGCTCTCTATGGAGTTTTCATCTTGCATTGAAAACCCTAACATGAGGAGGACAAAGATCCTGTAAATAGACACACTTTGTATCTGACACGGTAGTAGATATCTTATTTTTACAGTTTTGAGGAAAATCAGGCGTATTTACCTTCTCTGTATTGTTCTCTTATAGTTGGTAGTTGTGAATCATTTTTCTTTTTTGATAAAACTAAATAAACTGGAAACATTGAATTTCAGAATGTTGCAGAGACTTCACCATGCCAACATTGTGTAATGCAGTAATCACCATTCATTGACAGTTAACTCTCAGACATTATCAGGGTATAAAAAGAAAATAAAAGTTAATTGAGCCCCTCCCCCCCCCCCCCCTCAAAACAAACAAAAAAAGTTGCAGGTTGCAGGAAATCTGTCATTCATTGTTAATATCAAATACAGATTATACATGCAGTTTTTCATGGTTACTCAATGTAATGCAAACATCAATTGATGCTCACTGACAAACTAAAACCTCCCAGCTGAACACAACATGGCATTAACTGTGTCTGCTTTATCTGCCATCAATCTCTTTTCAAGAGACAGTATCAATTAATTTTGCAGACTCAAGGAAATGGATAATAATGACCCTCAATTAAACCTGGAGACAAAGAAGAGCAGGGGAATTCTTGTTTCTCTTTAGTTGGATGCAAATTCAGAACATCTTTTTGATGGGTTATCGGTTGAATTGCTTGAAAGAAAGTTGGCAATTAATTTGATGTGTGCATTATTCTGAAAGAGTTACATTCGTTGTGAGGAAATTGAAGTTGTAAGACTACGCACTAAATTTTGGTCTATTAAAGATCAAATTGATTCTGATATGGCTTCTTACATTCTCTTACAAGTTTTAGCTCAAAACAGCTCCAGAAAGTTGATGCTTTCATTTCACTACAGTATATCCTAATGTGTTTGCCAAGAAATAAAAGAAAATTGTAAACCCCCCTGGAAGAACATTGATTTTTTGGGGGAGGAATTAAAATTTATTATGTATTTGCATGAATTGTAGTGGCATTGGACATTTCAATATACTATGAAATACAACAGTATTGTTCCTTTATGGAACTTCTGTTTAAATTTCTGTAATTGAATTTCGGAAATGTACTATAATTGATATCAGAATGCATAAGAGAAAACATTTTATAGAAATAAACAAAAAAACAATTGTATGCTGATTACTAAAACAAATCAATATGATCATTATAGGTTTATCTTCCAATATTTTACTTAAAAGCACTAGGTCTTAAATGCATATCTGTTAATCAAATTATGTTACACTGTTTGAATTTTTTTTAGAAAACAGTGATACTGATATGGACATGATACAAATATAATGATACATGTACTTAAGCCCTAATCATACAGTAAGCAAAAGGCTCAGTGTAAATGCCATTATGCTCAAAATATAGATGGGCTCAGCTAATATAAAAAGTTGAAACAATCTGAGCTATGGACTGAGCTACTAGCAAATGGCTCACAGTGTGGGCATATTGCTCACAGTGTTTGCTATGGGCTCATATACTGGCATAACGCTCACAATGTCAGCTATGGGCCCAGATACTGGCATAACGCTCACAATGTCAGCTATGTGCCCAGATACTGGCATAATGCTCATAATGTGCTGACACTTCAAGTCAATAGCTCAGCCTACATTGTATAAACCAGTGTGGGAGCCCATAGCTGCTGGCCTCACAAAGAAAAAGAGCTCATCCTGCGTGCAGTGGGCTATTGTTCGAGTGACCTGTGGAAGAGGTTATTGATTTGTGAAATGTAAGGAAATGATCTGCGACTGTAAAGTTACTGTCTGTCTCTGTCAGTCTTCCCGGGGGAATGTAGACTAAACCCCAGATAAAGCTTTGATATCAGCAATTAATTGACTTATCATGAGCAATGCCAAAGTTAGAGAAGTATTTTTATTTGTAATGGAAAAGATCGATCTCAAGGTTCCAGAGAATCAACAGTATATTGCATCCATTTACAGTTGTTGCAATTTAAGTCTACTATAGTGCATATGATAACATTTATTTCTTGCAATCAGAAGTAGGCGGATTGTAGGATGAAACAATGGACTATTAAACAAGCAATACAAAATATAATGAATTATAGATAAAATGAATTAAGAAGTATTTTGTAGAAAGTTTTGAATGAAAGTTATGGGTAGTCAAGTATTTTGAATGCATTCTGTCTCATCCATCAGCAGAGAGGAGAATCTTCCAATAAGTTGATTTTCCCTTCTTAAAAAAAATAATAATAATGATAATAATAATAATCTGTTGCTCTTGGCTAAAGTTCCCCCTTTTTTTGTTATATAAATAGCATATCTATTCTATATACATGTTTATTGCAGTGTCACTCATTTGTTTTAGTGTAGGCAAAGAGAGAAGGTTGGCAGATTTACACATACTGTTTTATTGCTATTTCCCAAATGTAACCACAAAGATGAGTTAGAATAACTGGTGATTGGAAGATAAGGAGCATATATACATTGTCACCCATTGTCTGTTAGATAACTGTTAATACACAGTATATCAAACAAAGAAAATCAATACCTTATTGGACAGATACTGGGGTAGAGGTTAACAAAAGTCTAATATTTTATTAGGGAGAAGAGGAGACTCCACTGATTGTAGGTATAATATTGGAATTTAGACGTATTTTTTTTTAGTTTTTTTTTCTTCTTTACTTTACAATTTAAATTTGAAATCTTTTTGTTGGCAGAATTCCAACATCGTGTGCCAACCCCCCACCCTGTCTTCTGGTAAGTCATAATACCACTGAGCCATTTCTTCCTACTTTTTTTATGACTTAAAAAAACATGCATTTTATTAAAAACTGTAACTTTCAAGTCACTTAAAAGTATGATACATTAGATAAATGCCCCCCCCCCAAAAAAAAAAAAAAAAATATATATATATATATATATATATATATATATATATATATATATATATATATATATATATAAACAATCTCATGTCCTGCTATTTTAAAATGGAGAAAGCTTTGTAGTGCACTGGTTTAAGCCTTCTATCATACCATCAGCTCTAACTGTGCTGACAGCTACATCACGCACAATCAAATTAACGTGAACAGTAATTTTGCTAATCAGGCGAGAAAAAAACTGAGTCATCTCTCAGAAACATCGTCAGTGAGCAATTTCTGAGAAATTTGTGGTTTTGAATTACAAATTGGAGAACAGGGTGACATCATTTGCATGAGGAGCCCCAGAAGCTACTTAAACACTTGGTTGCCATGTAAACTGCTTTAATTTGATGCAATTATTTCCGAAAACAACTAAAACATAGTACTAGTATAATGTTCAGATTACACTGTTTCTCAAAGGTAAGCCTGTAACAAAAGTAAATTACCACCATTTTTGCATTAGTTGTTTTGATAGCAGTAGCTGAATCAAACACAAGTGGATCCCGGATGAGCAAATGTCTTTGCACACACACACACACACACACACACACACACACACACACACACAGAGGGTTAACAATCCCACAATTCAGTTCAAAGGGTGGCTTATATCAAAGGAGAAAGATGGTTTTCTAAACATTGTGCAAGATATTTTATCACGTTTTTTTTTTTTTATATAGATACACCAAATGTATAGCATATAGTGCCATCTTGCATAATAACAGAGTTGATCTGGACCTTGGGAAGTCTCTGTCATTCTTGAAGTTATGTTTCATTGTCATTGTAGTCAAAACATGGACAAATAAACTTTTCATAAACTTTTCATTTATTCAAGGGTGAAATGATTTTATTGCATGACAGAGACATTGTTTTGATAAGAATAATATATCCGGTAACAAAAATGCTGTTCTCACTCTTACTTCTGCCCGAGGACCTTCTTGCTCACCTTATCTATGGCACTTTCATGTTGTCAAACACCAAATGAAGTTTGCAATGAATTCATAATGGGAATAGATCAATAGAATTCATAAAATATGGTCTCTTTTTAGCTGAGTTTGTGCTTTAATGATATCATCTGCCAGTGTTATGAATTCAAATACTTTCGTTAACCCTGAAGCGTGTTGAGCAAACATTTGTCATGAGTTTCAGTCTGATACTATTGATTGCAAAAGGAGTTTGTTTTAGTGCATTTTTCATACTCACTAGGTTAACTATTTTCATCAATGAAGAAGAAAATGAAAATGTGTCTCCTCCTGGGAGTATGTAATTATAGCAGTAACGAGTGAAAATTTACTGTTAATGTGATGAACAATGCAATTAGATTTGTTTGTTGCATGCATGTAACTGAATTGAGGAAATGCATTTAGTGGTCTGCATAAAGTGCTACTAGATTATTGTTTTTTTCATATTTGTCTTATAAATGTTTCTTACTGATTTTGAAATATTGAATGCAGATCTCTCATCTTATCTATGAGGACTTTTAAGGGCAGTCATCAGTTTGTCAAGATTAACAGTCAAAATTCTTGGCGGACACTTTCAAAGTGCAGTCTTCTTTTTCTGAACAAGAGATTCTTTTTATCCTGATTGTGTTGTAGATTCTAGGTCAAATTTTATACAGAGCAAGCCTTTCTTCTGATCAAAAAGGTGTTTCATTTGAAATCCCCCCCCCCCCACCTCCCAAGTCAAGTACACTGTGCATTAAAAGTAATCTGTTAGTAAGTAGTGCTTCATTGGAAGTATGATTGTGGTAGTTGAGATCTGGTTCAATTGTATCTGATTGTGTTCACAACCAATTGTGTTTCTCTAAAGCACTAAGACTTGTCTGCTTAGGATTGTATTTTTATCATATAAGTATTTCTGAATAAAAGAAAAAATGGATTTTAATTTGAATGAAAATGTATTTATTTGCATGAAATTTTGACTAAAATCCAAAAAAACATATTGAAGTTTAACCAAGAGATATATTTAATCTATTCTGCTTAATTTTCTAGGAAGTTTGAGCATTTGGGAGCAGTTTCTATCTATGGGAGTGACCGCCGCAGTGGTCATTACAGTTGGCAGCCTTCTCGTCCTCATTCTATGCATTGTAGCGATCACGTGCTGCTGCTGCAGGAAAATGCGCAAGAAAAGGGAGGAAGACGAAGCCACGGTGACGTCAGCAACGGCTGTGACCAGAGGAGGGGGTCCACAGTTCCCAAGTAATCAACAACCCCAAATTATGATCACATATGGTTTGTGTTGCTTTTTGCTGCTTTCTTTTCATTTGCAAATGCTATAAATGTTGATGTGAGTTTTTGTTTTTGTTTTTTGAATAATAATTATAATAATGGCCATTCTCATAATTTTTTGTTTTGCCGTTTTTGTGTAGATATTATGAATATGAAAGATAAACTGTGGATGGGATATCTGTGTATGTCCATAGTTTACATGTCATGTACTTTGTTGCCCACCCTGATGATTTTAATTCTCTGCTGCTGTTGCAACTAATTACAAAGTGCAATAAGATTTTAGGATAACAACATTTCCTTTATACTGTGTAGAAAACTAATCCTGGGCCAGTATTTGTGTGTGAGTGCCATATATATGTGGTTTTGTTCCTCAAATTGAAGTGTAGAGGTCATTGCATTAATAATTCATCAGTTTTCCTATTCATTATGCATCTATATAGTTGAACTGGTTAAAATACAATTAATGGTTTATACATTATTATTTGATTATTTGCACTAGAGCATTCAGTTGTATGACACACATTCACTTCTCTGATTTAGACTTAGTTACACCAAAATCATTAATGTGACAATATATGTAAACAAGTTTTTTTTTTTTTTTTCATTTTCCTCAGAACTTTTTTGTGTAGACCAATGAATTCATTTGAAATCAATGAGATATTTATAAGTACAGTGTTTTATTAAAATCACAATTTTCTACACTAAAAGCAGTTTTTGGCTTCCCTCCATAGATCTCAGCCTTGGGTTGATCATCACATACCAGTCAAGGTAAGCTGCACATTTTATGTAGATTTTTGCTCTTTCTCTTCCACACTAGGTCCCAAGCCCGGGTTTGGTCCGGTTGCGCCAGCTCATCCCCACTTTGCTCAAGCTGGTGGATACCAGCCCATGCAAGCCACGCAGTGCACCGCGCCAGGCATATATCTCAACCAAACAGCCATGATGTACGCAGCGGCGGGGGCCACCAACTCGCCGTACCACAGGGATGGAGGTGCCTTTTCCAGTTCTCAAGATAGCTCCACTGGCTACTCATCGCAACCACCAGCGCGCACTCAACGTTCGTATACCCCAACCAGTAGTAGGTCAAATCAATCGAATAGCCACAGCAGTGTAACGTATAGTAGTAATACAGATAAAGTGACCATGCCTGTACACTTATAGCACACTGAGCTCATTGATGTCTTTAAAATTCTTCATTGTTTTTAATTTTTTCAATGCTCTGAAGATGCCATTGTATTGTAGTTTTACACACACAAATATATTTTCAGCTCATGAATTGATTGTTTTTAGCACTGAAGTAACTCAGTGGTATTTGAATATTTATCAATGTATGGAGATAAAAGTTGAAACCTAAAATTACTGACAGTTTATAGTCATAATTTTATGGAAAGTTAAATGTATCCTTAAAAATATTTGTGCAATAGCAATGATTTTATGGGGAAATAATTAAAACCTCATAGCTTTCATGCTGGCAAAATACAGAATATAGACTTTGAATTATTTATTGTAGTTACTGGCACAGTTTGAAGTATGGTTCATTTTTTTATTACTTCATGCCAGTGGAAGATTTAATCTACTGTTCTAGTTTCACAGGTGATAGACAAACCTGCAGACTATTGAGTAAGTGAAAAGCTTTTTAAGAGTTTTAATTTTAAGTGTATGTTTTTATCAGAACAAGAAGTAGCTTTGAAAGGTTTGGGCGCTGAATTTTTGGCCAAACAGTTTGAAAAAGAAAAAGATATTTAGTAATCCAGATCCGTTTGCACTTTTTCAGCAATTTGAGTGAATCATCATTTTTTAAAAAATAATTTGTCAATCAAACTCATTTATTTATTTGTTATTTTACTTTTATTTTTATAGTGTCAGAATTGTAAGTAGTCTGATAAGCAGGCTGCATCTTACCCAAATTGTGACTGAAAATCATAGTCTAAGGGTTAACTCAGTAGTTACTGTTGGTGAAAGTATCTGAACATTTTGTTGAAAATAGATAATTACTGTCCCATTTACTTTGAAGTCATGTTGTGTACCTTTTGTTATATATATATATATAGACTGGGTATACTTCTCAGATTTCTTGAATTTTTCATCTGTTGGTTGTGTAGTTTCATTATTTATGAAGTAACTGACAGATATTACTGACTTCAGTCACAGTAAGCCTTAAATATACTTGAATCTATACATATATATGTGTGTGTGTATCCGTTACTTCATCATGCAATAGAATTTAATGCAGCTGCACAGCTTGTTATTTGGGTCTTTTATTTTGGTCACTGACAAGAAATTTATAATCCCTATAGTTTAGTCAATTTAATGATATACTTATGTACAGTACTTGTAAATCAACATTTGATGGCAGACAGAATGTTGTTTGCACATTCTTACATTTTATAAAGCTGCAGCTTGTTTTGCATATGATTTTAGCCAAATTTTTATATTAAGCTATTTTACAAGTTATTTGATGTCACCAAAATTAGAAATCATAAAAGAAGTGTTAATTCCAGTTACAAACTATAAGGTTATGTGCACCAGGGTGAATATGTATTCAAATTCACTTTTGGTTAGCTTAAAATTGACCTGGTGACTTTCATCCAAATATAATTGTCTTATTGTTGTTTTTTACTATTTTGTTGTAAAGATTGATATGAAAACTGTATATTTTTGTACATACCTGATGTAAGATCTCCTGTCAAAATAGAAGAGATCTTTTAAGAACAATGCCTGTGCAATATTGACATGCGCTTTTAATTAGTACCATGATTGTATCAGTCTAGACACCACCCTCGACACCATTGCACCAAATCCCTACCACTACAATATCTTAACAACATGTCACAACACATCCCCAACACCACCCTGTCACATACAACATAGCCCCAACACCATCCTATCACATACAACACAGCCCCAACATCACCCTATCACATACAACACAGCCCCAACATCATCCTATCACATACAACACAGCCCCAACATCATCCTATCACATACAACACAGCCCCAACATCATCCTATCACATACAACACAGCCCCAACATCATCCTATCACATACAACATAGCCCCAACATCATCCTATCACATACAACACAGCCCCAACATCATCCTATCACATACAACACAGCCCCAACATCATCCTATCACATACAACACAGCCCCAACATCGTCCTATCACATACAACACAGCCCCAACATCACCCTATCACATACAACACAGCACCAACATCATCTTATCACATACAACACAGCGCCAACATCACCTTATCACATACAACACAGCGCCAACACCACCCTATCACATACAACACAGCCCCAACACCATCCTATCACATACAACACAGCCCCAACATCATCCTATCACATACAACACAGCCCCAACACCATCCTATCACATACAACACAGCCCCAACACCATCCTATCACATACAACACAGTGCCAACACCACCCTATCACATACAACACAGCCCCAACATCACCTTATCACATACAACACAGCGCCAACACCACCCAACCACAGAATAGCTTCTATATTACCCTATCACATACACAACCCTAGCTATCCTTTCACAGCCCACACACCATCCTAGCTATCCCTTCACAGCCCTAACACCACCCCAGCTATCCCTTCACAGCCCTAACACCACTCTAGCTATCCCTACACATCCCAAACACCACCCTAGTTATCCCTACTCATCCCAAACGCCAACCTAGCTATCCCTTCACATCCCAAACACCATTCTAGCTTTTCTTACTCATCCCAAACACCACCCTAGCTATCCCTACACAGCCCCAACACTGCCCTATCCCTACGTAACCCCAACACCATCCAATTACAACATTATTTCAACATCCCCAGCACTATCCTATCACAACAACACTCACAACTTCAGATTAACACCACTGCAATAAAACACCCCTATCACCACACCAATCCAATACCAGTTCAGCTCAGTCTAAATGCCACACTAGACCCCCCCTGCCCTGTCCCAATTCTACTCTGGCACCTTCCCATGTTCACCATTACTGCACCTGATTTAATCTAGGTGTTATAAATAAAAAGCTAATGTAATATGATGTATGATATAACCAACACATGAACCATGAACTCTGGTTATTACCCTCGAGCGAGTTTGACTATTCGCAAAATTTTGCTCTCACTGTTATAAACAATACAGATCCCAGTCATTTTTAAGGTCCTTATCAAAATATATTTGTAGATCTAGCTGTTGTGTATATTTGAAATAAAGTTGTGTATGATATGATATGGATATTACCAGGGTTTTTTTAAGTAAGTCTATCCAGAAGCAGCAAAAACATTATGATACACATGCATGCAACCGCCGTGCACAATTGATTACAAAGTCAACAGCAAAATTACAGCAGCTGTTGTCAGCTGTGCATGATAGACTAGAGCTTGTTGAACTGAGGTAATCATGCCATATGAGGGACCAAGTCAAGAGACATAACTCTCCATCTAATAAATTGACTTATCCTTTATCAAGAACGTGTCCCTCAGAACAATTTTCCTAAGGTCAGGGGCGGATTGAGGCCGTCTTCTGAGTTTTCCGGAAGACGATCAGAATTCCATTGTTTCATTGACGATCAAGTTCACATTGACGGGTATCTATTTTTTTCTGTCGGAAGAGGGTAAAAAAATGGAGGATAGATCAAAAAAGATAATTTGGAAGACTGTCAGAAAATATCTCTGAATCCGTCCCTGCAGGTAGCAGCTTAATCTTACATGTATGAATGTCGTTTAACCTGTGTCTGAGCATAGTTTGAGCCAATTAAAGGTATCCGAGTTATGGGAGTCAACTTTTTTTCCTGCGAGTTGAAGAAGCAGGTAACTTGCTGCCGAATTTTATCATTTTTCTTGCCTGCTTGATAGCTGAAAGGGGTTACCCTTGGCAACAAAGTGTCATTTTGATCTGACGATGAGTGCGGAATTCAGATTTTCAATGGAGGGGCATTGGGAGGTATGCTGGGAAACCACTTTGGAAGCTTGTAGCAGTTAAGTAATTTTAGTTGAATAAAATCTAATTCAATAAAATGGGATCAGGCGGTCTACTGTCTGGGGTAATTAACAAGAAGTAATTAAGTCTGGTCATGCATCCAATGAGATCCTGGTTTATTACAGGACCGTATCATGGTCATTGGGTCAACCGAGTACATATCTTTTGTAATTATCTCACCCAGTCTTCGCCGACAATAGATTGTTGCGTATGAGGTATTACTCCATAGTCCAAGAAGTGAATTATTTCAGTACATATATAGTTTTATGTCGTATGCACTAATTTATTATTGAGGACTGCAATGGGAGGATCAGATAGGGAAACAAGGGACACGTCCTTCCCTAGGTTTCTGAGGTACCCCTCCCCACCCCCCTTCCCCAAGAAGAAAATTGGGCGAAACCAAGCCATTTTTCCAACCCTGATCCCTTGCGCATTATGGTTAAGTGGTCCCTATTTGCTGTTTTATATTTAACACGCGAAGCGAGGCGAAGTCCGCCCCCTTCTCACCCCCCCCCCCTCCCCCCACCAGCCCCCGCCCTCCGACATCCACCGACATACCAAGATCTTGGGTCAGCCAGTGAATTGATCAGTGAAGCAGTGCATTAATTACAACCCAACAATGAGTTTTACGTACTTGTAATATGCCACGCTGTTCTCTGCGGACAAAATGATTGCATTGTCGTGCGTTCAAAATGAATTTTTTATTAAATAGAGACTAACAAATACATGTACACCTACTCCTAGTTGTATGGAGCCTGGGTCCTCAGAGGTACGTTGAATTACTGTAATTTGCGTAGAATTATTCTACGGATCCAGAGCTATTCACTGACAGTCTTCCAAATTATCTTTGTTAATTCATCCTCCAATGTTGACCGTCTTCCAACAGAAAAAATTAGATACCCGTCAATGTAAACTTGAAAATCTGACCGTCTTCCGGAAGACCCAGAAGACGGCCTTAATCCGCCCCAATATCAATATCATGGTTGCTTTCACGTTAAATTACATGTACTATCACGCAGAAGCGGGACAGTTGTACCCTGTGATATTAGGGCCTTCTGAAAGATTATATAAAACTTCAGTGTGTGCCGTACAATGTTTTTGAAACAAACTACTATCTCACCCTGTGGCCAGAGAGCAGATTTGCATCTCCAACTGTCCATGTAAATTATCAGAAAACTATGGCTGAATGACACTAAACTGCTTTTATCCCTTTACAAATATTTTTTTTATTTGTGGATATTACTTTTTAGCACCATTGTAGCTATATATAGCCTAGAGTAAAAACGCTTCATGAAGTGGTCCCCGATCGCATCCTTCACCCTTTTTAAAAATTTAAATTGACGAAACCGTTATGACATTTGCTGTTGGTAGCATTAAGGAGCGCCAACCCAACCCACACATTTGAGGAGGGTCCAATTTTGACATTTGTCTGTTAATGATCCCCATCCTCTCATTATTATATGGATGTTCCAAAGTTCTATTTTGTAGCATTCTAACCAAATCTGTAACAATTACATAATAAGAATCGCAAAGCTGTTTTATTATTTATCCGTTATATATTGATAAGCAGGAACTGGGTTTGTACAACGCAACGGCATTGCGTAAATTCGTTCAAATTCTGTACGTCAAATGACAGCACGTCACAAGCGAGGCGAGCCATCGTCAACATAATTTACCAGCGTCAAGAGAACATCTCAATTGAAGGTCTTCAATATTTCAGTAGTGATTTCTCATTAAACTTCGAAGAACACGCAGAATATGCGTCAGCTGTGACTGTGTCAATTGGTCACTGGAATCCAAACACGTGGCTTTCATTCATTTTCCATTTAATTCCTGAAATCAAATTCTTACTACCTACTTTGCACGTACACTTGTCTAAGTTACAGGCATATAGCCAACAGTGGCAACGGTTTCAACGGTGGGAGTTTCTTTTTCTGAATAGGTGGACCTTTTTTACCCTCTAAGTTGACCCAACTTGAGAAATGGCATAGAACCTAAATCAAATTTTGATTAAGAGTGGACCTTATCTGGACCTTGTCGAACCCTCTGACCCTCATCCAACGAACCTGTCTTAAAATGAACTTAAATATAAACTCAGTTTTCATGTACGTAATAATCAGCATATAAAATCAGCATATAACGTTTGTCTCTGATTCAAATTATATTACGAGATGAAAATGATATGGCACTAATGTAACTAGACTAATGAAATTTTTATACCCAAACCTTCCTTTGAGCTATATGATATTATGAAATATTCAACAGGCTGGGCATATTTTACAGTATGTGGTTGTTGCTGCAATTGTAAAGGAGCGGTGGCAAATTAATATATAAACATTTCTCTGAATAAAGTTTTATAGTATGACGTACATAATTATGGAAGAAAGACACGGCAAGAATATCAGGCATTAAGAGCGACATAGAAATATTATATAATCGCAAATGATAGTCATTTTCATTCATGGTAGATATTAGAAATGAAGATATAGAAAATGTTACATAATATAAAATGGGCGCGCGTTTTACTTTTCTGGTTTTATAGTTCAGCAATACAGATCGTAAAGGCATATCTTCCAGGTTTGCTCTTTCGCCGCCATAATCATCACTATAAGTACGAGAACCTATTCGACAAGGAGCTTTAGTTATGACATACAGCCTTTTGTTCAAGAAATATTGCCCCAATAATGATAGCACTATAGAAAAAGAAAGGGGTGAGGATGATATTGTAGCCTTCTATAGCTACATAGTGTCGCACAATTTATATTGATACATCACTGAAACTGAAAATGACAATTTTATTATCTGCGAAACTCGTCTGACATCCTCATAAAAATTGATGATATTAAAGACAATTCTCTCAAATATTGCATAATAATAATTTTTATATGTGTTGGACATCAGTGGTTTTATATATACTTATTATGATAACCCCACTAAAGATTAATATGATTATTAATTTCCATTGATTGTTAAAACTTTTAAACTTAAAAACAATCATCTAGGTACTACAATGGAAATATAGAGGGTGGCTAACAAAAGCGATATTTATTTACTTATTTCGAAGTTCAATAACGTCAACAGTTCACAAGTTTTTGGAATGAAATTTAGTACAGATTTTTAACGTTGGCCACGAAGCCTTGAAATTTTTGAGTATAAAAGTGAAACAGTTTTGATATTATCATCAAATCAAAAACACATATTGGAAAAATGCCACGACAGAGACAATGACACCTGCCAGAAGTCACATAGGCCGGCATGGAATTTTATTTGTTTGTTTGTTTGTTTTTTTGCCAACAAAAAGAAAGGTAGAGTCATAAGTTTTTCAGCAGTCATCAAAAACATCATTTTCCTAAGATATTCCAAATTTCATGGCAATATCTTCAATACTGTTGAAGTTATTAAACTATCACCCAATATGTAACATTTTCCAGGGGATAATGCTGATACATACATGTTTTTGAGTGTATTTTTAAAGTAGAATTATAACCCCTGTTGTCAGCTTTATTGCCTTCTTCAATATACTGTTTGTGCCACATCTTCATTCAATATACTGTTTTACATGTCGACTTTATCATGCAATTTGTTTCTTTTAATATGCCAATATATATTTAATGATTGGCAACAGACGACAGCTGTACCATCAACTTTCTGTGCTACAATAGGGCCGTAGGCTGGGAAAATGCTGCGAGGGGGAGGCTGTTTGTGCTGGTAGTTTGTGTACAACCGTTGTTGTTGTTTGTCTGTAGTACTTATTTAAACACCGACTGGAGGAAAAGTAAAATACTTCAGATGGACTGGGAGAAGGTGAAAGGCTAACACTCATTAAAGTTCCCGTTTTTTTAGAGAAGATTGCGGGGAGAGGAGATGGGAGGAGAGAGGGGGCAATTGCCTCCCTGCCACAATTCCACCAGACCCTTTACACCCGAAACCAACGGTTCTGTACATTGTATATATATATATATATATATATATATATATATATACGGTAGTCTGGTCTACTTGGAGTGAAGGAGTTAACACAGTATGTGCAGTACTACTGATTCAATTACAAGAACATAATTCAACACCCACATTACAGTGTAGTCTCTAGCAAGATGTGATGACTTGAAAGTATCGGAACATTTTCCACCTAACTTTTTTTCCCGTGAATTCTGCTCGCTGTTTAAAAAATTGTCTTTAAATGACCTTCAAATAAACAGCAAAGTACCATGAACTTCCTGAATTACAAATGGCAAAATGGAGCATTTGTGTTAGGTTTGCAAATGATAAAACAAACGTCACATTAATATTACAGACATATATTAACCCTGCGTTAATAAAAAATCCATTACAGCGAACACATACAATGTAATTTGAACAAATGTATGAAATGGTGTGTTAAACAAAATTAGTAATGTGCCCATATTTACACAAAATTTAACCGAGTTTTCGGTTGAAACACCGACATCATAAGACTTCGTGTAGGCCGCTGTCTTGATTTGTGTTTCACTACAACACAACGTCACCATTTCGGCACTTTTGGTTAAAACATGTAGTACAGGTTTTTTTTTAGGAAATTCAATTTAGTGGGAAAATACCTGAAATCAATTTTGTACACATCATTTTTTCTTTTTTCTCTCCACATATTCCGACTCAGTCACCGAATATCCAAGATTGTTACCAAATGGTTGGCAAACTAAGCGTTAAATGATTTACCAAATTTCAAAGGGGAGAAACTATCCATATTAACAGACCGTAACTCCAAGCAAAACCCGGTTTACAAAGGTGCTTCAAATGCTACCCTCTACCAGAGTCACAGATTGATTTTTCACTACATATTCACAGATTTGTCTCTGGTGAAATTGTTGCTATTCTCTGTACTGTGAAGATGTCCATATATTAATAACTGCGGCCCAGGTAGAGAATACTGAAATGCAGTGCTACACGTTGTCGCATATCTCTCGCCCGTATAGCAATTAAAAAACTCTTACCATGATTTACATGGTGTAAACAACCTTATTGAATGACAGTGACAAACATGAAAATTTAATTTAACATGAAAATTTTAGTGGCGCAGTTGATTGCAACAAACAATTTATACAAACCTAGAGAAAGATATCATCGTTTCATGCTCATATAGATGTAGGCCTACAGTAGGCTATATGTGTCTGGCCTTGAGCTCTTGTACATGTATTTCAATCTACCAGACGTAAGCTCGTTTTTAGCGGTATATTGAAATTACATTAACCATCGACATTTATGCATTTATTCGGTTCACTGGCCCTTTTAATTTTAGGTAAAATTGATGATTTTGGAGCACAATTATAATGAAATATAAACAATATTTGAAGCTTTAATTGTGACAGAATCAATACTAAAAGGAGTATAAATTATGGAAATGGGGACATGGATACGCTATTGTTAATTACCCCCTAAAATTACATAAATGTAGTTACAATAATAAGGAAACACCACATAAGCATGTAGGCCTACACTTGTATAGACTGGACATGCAGTAACAAGTGATCAACTTAAAAGGACACAAAAGAGAATTTTCGCGCCAAAATTGAATTATCCAGGGGTAAACAGTACTTTTCCGCGATTCACCAACCTTTAATCCATCATTCCCGGCACTCGCCATCGCTGCATTAGAGCCATAAAGACGGTCCCAAAATTGTAAAACGAGTAAAATTAGTAACGGAGTTAAAGGTGCAGTTCTATTATTATTCACGGTGTTGAAGAGTTACCGTAAGCCGACAGAATATTCGTGTTTGGCATTTTTGTTCCTAACTTTTAAATATAACCGCAGCCCAGTCGTTAGGGCATCTTTGCGCTAAATATTAAGCACTCGATCGGGTACTTTTATTTTATTTTTTCTTTAATACAAATATAGGCTAGTCAATACTTCTCCGAATTTTTGAACTTATTCTTACTAGTAATGTGTACTCTGCTGCGATAATATTTAAAAAACAGAAACCCATAACAAGACGGTATAGATTACTTTACTTTATATGTAAGAAATTCGAACAAGTAGTTTGTGTTTAATTTTAACCTGATGGTCGAAGCCGATACATGGAGTATCTCGCGCCGATAAGTTTCCTTTACCTGCATTCTCATTAAAAAGTACTAATTGTTTTCGTGTGGTGCTCTTAGATTTTCTACATTGTAACTCTTGCAATAAATCTAATACATCTAAATTCACTGATCAGCTGGATATACCCGTAAACAACCACGGTGCCGTAAACAGCATCAGTGCCGTAAACAACCGCAGTGCCGTAAGCAGAAGCCACACTCCTACACATCGCACATCGCACACTGTGTCTTGAACTGTTTCCCTCTAATATTGATCATGAAATGCTTGCGTAAATCCTTGCCTTCGCCAGGTGGCTCTGCCTGTCACTGGACGCGAAAGCCTACGCACGTGCTGTTGAAGTCGGCTTAAATATTTTAGCACAGTTTCCTAACGAATCCACCCGCATTTCGGGCTGCTATTTAAACTTCAAGCGCGTTGTGCTTCGCTGAGACAATTATTAAAGCAGACGTACGACCAAGATCTGGACAAGAAACCAAGATAACCAAAGGTAAATAACTATGAGATTAAGAAACTGTATTCCGTAGTGCACAACTAATTGGTTATGATTTATGATAGTAATGATAGGGATAAGTGCGAAGTACAGAGAATGCAACAGAATCATGCGACCAGTCAATAGGAATGCCTTGTTTGGGAACACCGTAGCAGCTTGCGTCGTTTTAATCTATATTGCTAGGTTAGAATTGCTTCCTATGGACGGTTAGATCCACATGTGGCTACACATTAATTGCGCTTGGCTGTTTGAAACGTTCATTTGATTAAAATCTTCTCACATGACGTGTTCCATGATGTTTAAAATCTGGAATTTTTTAATAGTCTGCGCGTGCTTTTGTGTTTTTTTAATTACTTTAACTTTATATTTCACAATAAATATATTGTAAAAAACACATAGACATATAATAAATTCTATTTTTTCACCAAAACGGCGGTTGTCGCAATTTTTCTGGATTCTGTGCTTGCCGTCGGACCTTGTGGCTCTCCCTTTAACTGAACTGTAAACTGGGCACCTGCCCGTACTGAAAGGTGATATAATAAAAAACTGAAGTTGGATCCAGAAGAGATGATAATTCCTTAAAATGCACAGTGTTGTCCAAAACGTTCTTCTATTCCCCCCCTTTCCAGGGTTTGATATAAAGGCACTTGATGTGCCAATGTGCTTAAACTTAAGAAAGTAAGAACAGAATGAAAAAAATATTATTCCAAAAGCAAGCATCTAGTTGAAATCTTTTACTGTAAAAGAGTGCTAAGTTTAAAACTAATTAATATGAAAATGATTTTTTAAAGATCTTAAAATTATTCTCTGTTTCAGAGTCAGCATGGAAAGTCAGAACATAATGAACGGCTGTTACGAGCAGAACCAGTTATCGGAGGGTAACGAGCACGTGTTAGTCACAGGGGGCGCTGGTTACCTTGGCTCAAGTGTGGTGCCTCTCTTGCTGGAAAGTGGTTACAAAGTCACTGTTTATGACATCTGCTGGTGGGGAATAACGCCACTTTTGACCTGGGCAGGCCACAAGAACCTGAACATCATCCAAGGCGATATCAGAGATAAAACACAGCTTGCCAAAGCCATGCAGAATGTAGACGCCATCATCCATCTGGCTGCTGTCGTAGGGTACCCGGCCTGCGACAAAGACCCCGATTTGGCTGAAGAAATCAATGTTGGGGGCACGGAAATCCTCGCCTCCCTTCTCCAGCCCCATCAGAAACTTGTCTATGCTTCTACTGGCTCGTGCTACGGAGCTGTTGAAGGGGTGTGTTCAGAGACCACGCCCATCTCTCCGCTTACCCATTATGGCAGTACTAAGGCAAGTGCTGAGAAAATCATCGTCGGTGCCGGTGGAGTGGGCCTCCGTCTCGCCACAGTGTTTGGACTATCTTCAAGGCTTCGCCTTGACCTCCTTATCAATGATCTAACAGACAAAGCATTTGTCCATGGCAAATTCGACCTCTATGAGAGCCATTTTCGTCGCACGTTCCTCCACGTGAAAGACGCGGCCCGTGCTTTTGTGTTTGCCATAGAGAACTATGAGAAAATGTCAGGCAGGGCATTCAACGTAGGAGACGAGTGCATGAACCTGACCAAGCTTCAGGTAGCCAAGCATATTCAGCGGCACATGCCGTCGATCGTCATCAACGATTCCACTGTTGGCACAGACAAGGACAAAAGAGACTATGAGGTTTCTTACGCTAAAATTCGCAACTTGGGCTTCCGTACCAGTATACCTGTTGACGATGGCATTGTGGAAATGTTGAAAATCCTCCCTTGCCTAACTGCCGAAGAGCGCACCAAGGCACGTAATATACAACCCATTGCTTGAATATCGACAAATTTCTAAGTACCACTGCCGATAACTTTATTGTTACATTTATTATGGTAATAAGCATAATATGATATCATTATATGATAGTATGACATGAGCTAAATAAGTAAAAAAATGTTCACGCTGATAACACATTTGGGCAGCAAGAGACAATGGCTGATCTGGGAGAGGGCACAGCAGGTATGTGTTCTTTCCTTCTCTTCTGAGGCACCCCCTGCCCCTCTTCCCAAAATGAAAGAATAAGAAAAATTAACAAATGAAACAAGCATATTTTCAATCCCTGTGGTCTTCATAATATTGTAAAGTTACATATGTCAACTGTCATATTTGCCGAGAGAAGGCAATTGGTATCCTTGTGTCACCCCCCCC